CTGAAACACTTCTAAATACCTAATACATACCTAAAAAGTTTCTAAAAGACTTTCACTAATACCTGTATGTAAAAGAGTCTCACTAATATAATAATTTTAGATTTATCAGTAGAACTTTTACATTCACTGGTAGGTGTTTAGTAGAATCTGATCAACTTTTACTATTAAATCTATTAATACATCTAAAAGTTCTACTAACAAATCTAATATCATTATGGTACTAAGGCTCTTTACCAAAAACATTCTGAAACACTTCCAAGCACCACAATGTTGCAGGTTCACCGGCAACGCCCCGACAACAAGGAACGTTCCACCGATTCAGGGTTGCCATGGCCCCCAGATCCTCCCGAAGAAACAAACCAGTCGAATCAAATCACGATCGTTATCGATCGGTCCATTAATCAACGATATTACGCAAAACGACCCGTTAGCCATGGCACGTCCGACCGTCGAGAAGGAACACCGTCAATTTATTATAATTATTCGCCGTCGGCCCAGTGTTTACGGGCCTGCCCAACCGCTAATTTCTTTCTTAATCCGATTTCGTAATCGGCAAACGGGGGGATTATTGCGCTGTCCGTAATCTGATCGGGTTGGACGCGATACACGTCGCGGGGTGGTTAATTGATCCCGACATAATTATCGCTAATTACAGCTGACACAATGTTGTGGACCGTGTTGCGCGCACAGCCAGTAAAAATCCCTAGGGAAAGAGGGAGACACCGTAAAGAAGAGGATCTGCCGCGCAGAACGCCCAGCGAGCTGGGGATTCACCCAGTTCTACGGCGAGTGAACGTTTTGACGTGAGGCCTACACCGTAATCGGGGATAAACGGTGGTATTGCGTAATCATTGCGATGCGGAAGACGCGTGGAGCACACTGCATAAGTATGTATCTAGTCCTGCTCAGCGGCGTCACTGGAGGGGAAATTCTTTGATCGACGCACAGTGAGATATTTTCCCGATCCGGGCGGCTAAAATGAAAGACAGGTTTATATCGAGTTTTTACATAAAAATATGGGAATGTAATACAGTGATATACCATAATATGCAATTATATGGCGTATAACAATAAATTTATTAACCCTCTGTGGGCCAATGTAACTTTGAAGTCACATACCGGTATATTGACATCTTGTTGATTTATATCTTTTTGCATTTAAAGTGGTGAATAAAATGAGGTAATCGATTAACTGCAACTTTTATACGCTCAAGCGTGAAAGTTTAACGTCATTGTAACTTGAAAGTTACGAGATATATTCGTTTGATGAAATTATGGAAACTATTGAATACATTGTTAATTCGTATTCTTATGTAGATATTTATTAATTTTGTACTGCATAGATTTTGTTATAATCGTGAACAAAAATTCGGCCCATAGAAGGTTAATATGAATTATATATAATTTCATATATTTGCACAAAAATGTGTATATTTATATATCGCTGCATAAGTATGTATCTGGTCCTGCTCAGCGGCGTCACTGGAGGGGAAATTCTTTGATCGACGCACAGCGAGATATTTGCCCAATCCGGGCGACTAAAATGAAAGACAGGTTTATATCGAGGTTTTACATGAAAATGTAGGAATGTATATAGGCATATACAATAGTATGCGATTATATGGCGTATAACAATAAATTTATTAACCCATTGCTGGCGAAGATTCTCTGAAATATACAAAACTCTCAACAGATGAAGCTAAATTATATAATAATTACTTAAAGAATAGAAAAATAGGAAATTATGCGCTGATCTCTTGGTATTCCAGTAATTAAATCATTTGTTTACTACTTAGACTTCCAAATATGAAAATTTCATCTCGTCGAAATGTCGACATTCATCCGCAAAGGGTTAATATAAATTATACATAGTTTCATATATTTGTGCAAAAAATTATACGTTTATATATCACATATTACATGATGCAGTGTACGATAATATAGTATATAATGCGTAATAATGCATCATAAATAATATATAATTGTTTAATTTATTGATTTTCTATTAATTTTCTATGGACATTTTTCCAATTTTTCTTGCATAGTATTATTCTATAAGGGTTAGTATAAATTATATATAATTACATAAGACATTTATTATTCATAGTATTATACAATTACCTGAACAACAGAAAAATAGGAAACTATGTGCATTTGGATAAAAATATTTTGCATTTGTTTGAAGATAGGAAGCTATTGCCTTTCTGAACAATGATGTAAAAAGTTTGAGAAATTTTCATAATTAAGACACAAACGTTCGAAGTTGAATAATTGAGTTCTTTTGCAGAATTGATTTTCTCAAAGGTTGTGGATGATGGGGTAAAACGGATTGCATATTCGATTTTAGTATGAGAAGCACTGTTAAAGAACTTTTCAAAATATTCCTAATGAAACGAGTAATTTAAACATTTTTATTTATTACAGAATCTCTATTGTGACTAAGCATTCTCAAACATTCTTAAACATTCTCATCATAGATTACACTGGTTTATGAAATTAAAATTCTCCATTCGGCATTTAACTATTTTATTTTCTTTGTAAAATTCACAATGAAACGAGTCATTTAAAGATTTGTATTTACTACAGAATCTCTATTGTGACTAAGCATTCTAAAACATTTTTAAACATTCTCATCACAAATTACACTGGTTTATGAAATTAAAATTCTCCATTCGACGTGTGACTGTTTTATTTTCTTTGTAAAATTCACAATGAAACGAGTCATTTAAAGACTTGTATTTACTACAGAATCTCTATTGTGACTAAGCGTTCTAAGTTCTATTGTTCTCTAACGTTTGAAACGTTGAGATAGTAAAAGAATGACACTGGCAGATATAATTCTAAAGCACAGCTGAGACATAAAGAAAGGTGAAGGCCGTTTATTCTTTAAAAGAGCCGTTTACCAATGGCATTTACGAAAACGATGTGACATAATCGAGGCCGCGCGAGACGGGATGCGCGTTTAATCGACGCCAGAAGAGTTTGAAAGTGCTTTCTGCGTGTGCAACACTCTTGGCACTCCATTTAAAGCTAATTTCCTTGACTTCGTTTAAACTGCCGGAGAACGGTCAGCAGAAGATCCAGAAGACGTTACGTTTCTCTTTCCACGCTACGTCGAATGAATGATCCTGATCGAGATCTGGCAGCCGATTCCGACATAATGTAATTTAACAATTTATCAAGGTACGGATCGCTGTCTGAATTCTGTGATTTCTGCAATACAATATATCACTGCGATTCTAAAAATTAGTATTATTAAGGCAATGAAATTCTTAATGGAGTGCTGTTTAAAAGTAATTTTTGAATGCTTGGCAACGATGGTGAACAAAGCCATTTGATCAGTAAATTTTTGATAAATAAAAATGATAATTTTTTAAATATTTTATAACATTTTGATAATTTCAATGTTTCATAACATTCTGATAATTTTAATATTCTGTAAAGTTCTAATAATTTGAATATTCTGTAAGATTCTGAAAATCTTTTAATTTTATAATATTCTAGTAATTTTAATACTCTACAATATTCTGATAATTTCAAAATTCCATAATATCCTAACAATTCTAATATTCCGCAATACAATACAATTAAAGAATTGTATTTCATTTATATTTAGGAAAACGAATGATACAATTGATATAATTAATCGTGTATCCATCAATATTTCATCACAGAAAGTATTTAGATAATCATTTATCCTCGTAAAGAATCAATCTTCGATGCCAACGAATTCACCGACTAAATCTTAATGTTCTTTTCCTTATGAATGGCTCTTGGCCTGTCTGATCATGTATTGGATCATTCTACTGCGCCAGCAGGACATTAGAACACACGTTTCCAGGATCGTTAAACGATCTATGATTTGTGGCAGATGAAAAAAAATCATTCTATAACAATAATAACACCCGGATGCGCATTCTTGTGCGCGTTTTAAAGCGAGGGTGAGCACGAACGGTGTAAGGTTGCGAAAAAGGTTTCGTGGAAGGATGTTGTAACCAGTAATGCGTCCGACTGAACGTATATACGCGCATCTTGGTCATAGTTCGATATGAAACACGTCAGCGGTTACGGTGGAACGCGACTAATGATGAGAAGAACACCAACGCTTTGAATTTATGATTGAAAAACCCGGATGAAATGAATAGAAGACGCTCGACTGTTCTGCAACCGAAAAATGGACTAATCACTTTGTATTCGCTTTCTTTATCTCAGAAATTTGCATAAATACAAATTCATTTATTTCATTTATTTATTACGTTTTATATACTATTCGTTACATGAATAATGATATTAATATTAATATGTTATTAATAAGAAGAATTTTACTATTAATAATAATTAATAATCATTTTAATATTCTATAATACAATTAATTTCATTAATAATATTATAGTAACATTAAAATTGTTAAGAATAAAGTAAAAGGGTAATAACAAGAATATCGATATTAATATCAATATTAATGAAATATTAATTTCTAGAAGTTAAATCTGTCTGTTTAGGAGTCATTTTGAGATTCAGTATTATTATTTTTATTACAAACAGGAATTTTTAAAAGCCCTTAATAAATCATGATTTTAACCCTTTGCGGGCGGATGTCGGAATTTCGATAAGATGAAATATTCATATTTGGAAGACTAATTCGCGAACAAATGATTTAATTAGTCGAACAGCAAGAGATCAGACCGTGGTTTCCTTTTCTTCTATTAATTAAGCAATTGATATGTAATTTAGCTTTGTATATTGAAGGTTTCGCATGTTTCGAAGAATTATCGTCCGCAAAGGGTTAAATGGCTCTGTATATTATTTTATTCGTTCATTTATTTATGAATTGTATTTTCAGATCACTGATAAACATTTGTTGAAGAGGATTGCCTGGTACAGGAATAGGGAAATATAAAAGACAGCCATTGGAGGTATAAAACATTTTTATTATAAAAAGGAGCTAGTCTTACAAAACGTCACTTCTCTTCCTAAGCAAATTCAAATTGTACTAATGGTCAGTGGAAGGCGGGGCCATACGTGGGCGATGGAACCCTAGGATTGTAACCGCTGCGTGCGCCAAAGTTGTTGTAGCTGTTGTCCAGAGCAGTGGAACCAAATTGATAGTTGTTACCGTTGTTGTAGTTACTGTTCGGGGATTGGTAGTTGTATCCTCCGTCGCTTCCTTTAATAACAAAACAAAATAATATACAACAACTAAAATATAAGCCAATGAAAATTTCAATAAATACATTTTATGAAAATTTTTAAAATGATAAATACTCAGTCTGTTTATTCAATAATTCCAGTGTTAATAAAGCAAAAGAAACTTATTTTACAATATTCATTATATCATCGTAAGTCGTTTTATATTTAATAATTTAATTTCAAAACATTTAAGCCAATATACATCATATCATTGTAAAACGTTTAATATTTAATAATTTAATTTCGAAACTTTTCAGGAAATATTCATCATACCATTGTAAATCGTTTAATACCGAACAATTTATATTCGAAACTTTTGGGTCAATATTCATGATACCACTATAAATGCTTTAATATTTAACCAGTTCACTGTGTTTGACGAGTATACACGTCATCGTAAAGCTTGACACGATACGGATCCTTTCAGCGATGAATTCTTTACTTTTTCACATAAACATGTAATTCTTCCTTGTTTCGCTTTGATCTTTCATTAAAATATACTCTACGTGCATTCGACCTGCGTTCGATGAGTGCACGCTCCATTTTTTTATTTTATTGCGCGCAGAACGAGAGGTTTTTCCAATTAAATTCCACAGTTAACTGGTTAATAATATAATTTCGAAACTTTTGAGCCAATATACATGATATAATCATAAAAAGTTTACCTGAGTTGTACCCTGCGCCACCATTGTTCCCTTGATAACCAAACCCTTGTCCACCTTGGTTATTGTTATTGTAACCATTGTTCTGCGTGTTGTATTGGTCGGGGTAGGTCGCGGTACCCTCGTACCTGACATCCGCGTGGAAACCTGTCCTCCAATCCGCGGTGTAAGTCACTATTTGCGTCCTGCCGTCCGGTAGTTGCACTCTGTACTCCCCTCGCACTGTCTCGCCGTCGCTGCTCTCCCGTCTGCCGAAATCGTTTCCGGTCGCTTGGTCCTTCACCGCGTAACCGAATTCGTAGGACATCGGCTACAACAAGCCACACGTATCTCAACCCTTGTTCCATCCTACGCGAGCATATATGCGTGTGTGGGAGTGTATTCTTCGCAGTGAAAGTGGTTCAGAGATTATTTCGTTGGAACGGAGGGTTGATAGGTAGAAAGTTGAGTTTTTATTTATAGATTTATGGAACCTCGTTTGGATAATGAATTAGCTTATGTGATAGGATTGAGGAGAATTTGAGGGAACAGTTTGAGATAAAAGGGACTTTACTGTGTATGTGCAGAAAGGAAGATTGTGTGATGTTAGATAGTGATTTTGAGAGGTGGGGAATAGGGGTAGTTTTGATTTTGGTAAACTGTAACGTGATTCTGGGAATTGGAACAATAAGGTAGTTTGAATTTTAGCAAATTGTAAAGTGACTTTGGGAATTGGAGAATTAGAGTAGTTTTAACTTTGGTAAACGGTAAAGTGATTCGGGAATTGAAGAATGGGGGTAGTTTTATTTTTGGTAAATTATAAAGTGATTTTGGGAATTGAAAGATTGGGTAGTTTTAATTTTAGTAAGTAATAAATTAATCTGAGTGAGTTAAGTGCAAATAAGTGGAATGATGTTATTAGACGTATTTTCACGTTGTTAGTGTAGAACTACACTTTGTGTTCCTTACAAAACTATAATTATAATAGCTATAATTTTATATAATTACAATGATAACAATTATTATAATTTTACTAGAAATCACGATTGTAACAATCATAATAATTTGAAAGTTAGTGACATGTCAACATAAATTCTTAAGTTGACATAATATAATTATAATAACAAGCAAAACATTATAACAGTTAATATATTTAAATTTTCAAATTAATTTTGAGAATAATAATGTTAACATCATACCCTACGACTTTAGATTACATGATTTTTAGAGGCAAATGCATAAACCTGAGTGTAATCTATCATCCTCAGGATCATCTTCATTCGAGAAACCGGTTGCTCGTCAGATTTCCAAGTTATTCAATGGGAAAAGAGAAAAAAGCGACAGGAAAAATAAAACTTCCACCGTACGCATTCGCATTACGTAGCCGAGCAACTTTCTTCGCGCGTAGAAGTGGAGCAGACGAGTAACCAGGGACGATGATTTAATCTGGCTCGTGCCGCAGAACCATTTAGATCACTCGGGACGATTAGCTAATCGGCAATAACGATTCACCCGTGGATTATGCCTCTGGTCGCGGTTCACCCTATTAATATACTTACGTAATTTAACACTTTGATTGTCGTGTCGAAGAACGGGAGCAAAAAGGGAAATTCAGGACACATCATCAAATTAGTACCTTCTATTTATTCATTTCACTTATTCTTTTGGAATTTTTAAATTAATTTAATCTTTTATTTTAATTCTAATTCAGATTGGATCGTTAACCAAATTCTAATTGTAATTCAAATTATACTTTTATCCCGATTCTAATTCTAACTGAAATCAGACTTTTAACTCAATTCTAATACTATTTCGAATTAAACTTTGAATTCAATTCTAATTCTGATACAAATTAATCTTTTAACTCACTTCTAATTTTAATTGTAATTCAAATCGAGCATTTTAATTCTAATTCAAATTAAATTTTAACTCAATTCTAATTCTTATTGGAATCCGACTTTAAATTCAATTCTAATTATAATTCAAATCGAGAAATTCACTCAATTCCAATTCTAACTGAAATCAAACTGTCGACTCAATTCGAATTGAAAACTCAATACGATTAATGATTTCAAAATGAATGTCAGAGATTCGATGACGTTTGATTTTGAACTCAACAGAAATTCTAATCCTAATCCTATCCCAACAAACCAGACACACTCCTGTCCACTTTCTCTGCCAGTTCAAACAAAATCTGTACTTCCATAAAGGTGTTCTGTAAAGATTATTAGCAATGTAAACGCAATCATAGTGTGAATATTTGGTTCAATGAAATTTCAAGACCGACAATTTAAGTAAATCTTGCTCCATGTACCGGTTATCCGACGTAACACCGGCTGAGAGCAAGAGTTCACTGTTGCGGCCGCATTTTGTACAGCATTAGCGTTTCAACGCCGACGCGGCGCATCCCAGCAGCTCTATTACGTTCGGCGGAAAGTTAGGCATGCATTCCTGATTACATACGTGATAGACCCATTCGCGGATCGTACGCGTAAATGCACCACGTGCCGCGCGGTAACGATCGTAACGTCTAGAAAATCGAGCTACTTTGTCCGGCGGCGTTGCGACTGCAGCGGTATCTCATCTTTATGAGCCATCATCAATCTCGGTATTGAAAAATTCTCTTGGGGGACGTTGAGCTTTTATGGTATTGCTGGAAACCATGGAACGCTGCTGCAGAATGATTTACGACTGCCAGATAGAGTGTATTTCTTCTTTTTTAATGTGAACATTGTTTCAGGTACTATTAGCTTCTTCTATTTGTAACTTTCTTTTATCTGTTAGCTATTTACTTTTATGTTTAGGTGTTGTTAATTATTTGATTATTATCTTGAACTCTTTGCTTACAGAGTGTCATTTTTATCATGAAGTTTTATTTTCTAACGTGTTTAGACTATGTTGGCCACTGTTTGATCACTGAAGTGTCACTAACTTTACTCGGATACTTGATTAATCGAATGCTTAAATGTCTCAATGAGCTGTGATTTGGATACTTGTATATTTGAATGCTTGAATGTTTCAGTTTTCTGTTCTTTGAATACTTGAATAATTGAATGCTCAAATATTTCTGTATTCCAATCCTTGAATATTTGAATGCCTAATATTTTAGTGTTATTTTCTTTGAATATTTGACAGTTTCAATATTTAATTATTTCTGTATTCTGTTCCTTGAATGCTTGAATGCTTGAATGTTTGAATGTTTGGATGTTTAATTGCTTGAATGCTTGAATGCTTGAATGCTTGAATGCTTGAATGTTTGAATGTTTAGATGTTTAAATGCTTGAATGCTTGAATATTTGAATTCTTGAATGCTTAAATGCTTGAATGTTTGAATGTTTAGATGTTTAAATGCTTGAATGCTTGAATGCTTGAATGCTTGAATATTTAAAGGTTTCAGTATTCTTTTCCTTAAACTTCTGAATAATCAAATGCTCAAATAACTCAATGTTCCACTATTCGAATACTTAAATTCAGCAATACTGTAAATTACCAGTACTCCAATCTTCAAGTCCTCAAGACCACTCAATTCTCAATTAGGAAAGACAAGATACACCGGCGATGATAAATTAATTCCCCGTCAATAGATCAGTATTAATATGTCACTGTTTTATCGATGCACACGATTATTCTCTGACAAAAGGAATCATTTCCCGGGGGGTCGCGCGAGAAAGGAGAGTGGGACGTTACAGGCAGAGACGCTTCCCAGCTTCCCATCAGGCGTCGCAACTTTGTAGGCGCGCGTTTTCACGTTTCATCACTGTTTCGCCGTTGGAAGGAGTGGTTATTGTTGTGTGTCGCAACAGCGGGGTTGAGGGAGGGTACTCGGCGCACATAAATTCGCTTAATAACAGTACAAAACGAGCAGTTAATTTCCTTGAAATGTTCTCGTTTAAAGGATGCGCTCTTTCATTCCCCGCAATTTGTTTCCTTTCAGACTGGCCGCTTCAGACGATCAATTATGAAAGATCCGTGTGATTAGGAATTACCAAATCCAACTTGGAACGTCTTTCCTTATTTTTCTTATTCTATTTCTTCTTCTATTTCTTTTTCTATTTCTCCTTATTTTTCATCTTCTTCTATTTCTCCTTATTTTTCATCTACTTCTATTTCTTTTTATTCTTCTTCTCCTATTTCTTCTTATTTTTCATCTTCTTCTATTTCTCCTTATTTTTCATCTACTTCTATTTCTTTTTATTCTTCTTCTCCTATTTCTTTTTATTTTTCTTCTCCTATTTCTGCTTATTTTTCATCTTCTTCTATTTCTTCTTATTTTTCATCTTCTTCTATTTCTCCTTATTTTTCATCTACTTCTATTTCTTCTTATTTTTCATCTACTTCTATTTCATTTTATTTTTCTTCTCCTATTTCTTCTCATTTTTCTTTTTCTTCTATTTCTTTTTCGTTTTCTTCTTTTTTTTCATTTTTCCTTTCCTTTTTCTTTTTCTGCGCATCGTTTTACAAGCGTGAAAATAGTTCGTTGTGAGGAAGGAAGAAATATAAGAACAACGATGGACAAATATATCGCGTATCCGCGTAACCAGATCACTCGCCCGAGATCTACAAAGTTCAATGTTACTTAAGACATTCCTCTACTTTGTTAGGGAATCGGCTTTAACCCAGATCTACTCATCTCTTGCAACCCTTGAGTTGCCTGCGAAACACTTTGGGAGTGAAGGAATGAAGAAATCTGACAGAGGTTCATGATCGTGATCAAATAGAAGTTTCTAAATTTACTGTTTACTACTTCAACGAACTTATTAATTTCTTTTATGTTTCAGTTATGTTGTAACAATGTTTAAGTCTCTGAACGTTTGGGTTCTTGAATTTAGAGGTTTGTGGATCATTAATGGTCTCTTCAGTACTTGAATGTTAAAGTCTCTGATTCAAATTTGAATTTTAGAGTATTCTAGTGTTTGAATATTTAGGTACTTTAGTACTATGTTTGGATACTTGATTTTCTATTTTGATACTTTAATAATTAAATTTTTGAATACTTGAGAATCAACCCTGATACTTTAATAATTAAATATCTGAATACTTGAGAATCAATTCTGATACTTTAATAATTAAGTATTTGAATACTTGAGTGCCCAAGCTACTTTTAGATATAAAAAAAGAACTGCTCAAACTGCAAATAACAAATGTATCAAGTTTCATTTGACAAGATTGTAAGTACACGAAGTTATTGATTTTTAGATTACTCACTTGGTCAACGTAGTCATTGTCATTCCCATTGTCGTAATGATGATTACCGTGATTACCGAAGCCATTTCCACTGCCAGGCGTTCCATGATTGTTATTGTTGCCAGCATAGTTTCCTGGGACACCGTACTGAGTACTCAACGGAGGCTCGCAGTGAACGATACTTATGCTCACTATCAAAGTGAGCGATAACTGAAATTGGCAAAATTTTTATGTATTCGTTAGCAAAACAATTTTATATTGTATACAGATTGGTATAATATCAAATTGTTTATATACATATATAATTTTACTTGAAATTACGATTTGAATAGCAGATAAATATTTTCAATTTAATTCTCCAGATTTCTGAGCAGCAATGTAAACAATAACATACTGCACAAGTATATTCATATTTTATACAGTGACTCACATATTTATTCACAGTCTTTCCAAAGTTATAAATTCCCACATAGTAAAAAGAAATAAATACAACACACTTTGATCACAACAGATGAATGAATTACTGTAAATAAAACATAAAATACCAAATAAATTTAAAGGCAACAAGAGCAACAATACTGAATGCTGCAATCGAATACATTTTTGTACTGAATCTCACAATGAAGAGCCAACAAGAAAATTAAAAAGTATCCTCAATCTCTAAGTTAAAATGCATATTTACAAGATAACAATAATAACTTCCACGAATTTGTTCGCAAAGGGGTTATAACATTTACATCCCCTAACTATGCATAAAACTTCAGACTGTCCATTGAAATTAACAAGACCGTACCACAGAATTAATGAATTCCAGCTTAGTGCTAGAAATATGCATTAATTGCTACTAAAAGTATCAAAATGTATTAATTAATACAAGATTAACACTAGAAGTACCAAATGCCTCAAAATGATTTATAATTGCTACTTTCCCAATTATTCAAAAGACAAACATGTTCCTCTACGAGATTACTACCTAAATCAATCAGAATCTCAATAAATATACTCTTATACTTTCCATAGAAGAATTCAAAAACCTCACTTCAACTGCTCGGTGGTTGTAGCACAATGAATAAGCATCGCATAATCAATTATTGGGCATAATTGTTACACACACGTCAACCAAGCAACTGTGTGAGTCGGTATTTTATTGTTGCACCACGTCTCGGTGGGATACCATGGCAAAAGGTATCAGATAAATTCCCAGGCAAGCGTAAGGCTGATGCGTCGCTCGAAAGCAAGATGATCAACCCGTTCGCGTTGCGTACCCGAGAAATTAGCGTTCTCCGACGTCGTGAGAACGCGTCGCGAGCTGCCGTTGCTGTTGCCCGTTACGTCACCGTCCCCTTTCAGAGGGGACACCACCTAGAAACGTCCTAAATATCAATAAACTTTAGGAATTCTTTTGTTAATAACTATTAAGTGAAAACTTCTGACTCTTTCTGGGTACATAACTGTAACCTTCTGCTTTATATTTGTGTTTTTTCTAAGCCAAGATGTTACAGAATGGCCCAGTTATTCAGTAGCTTCGAAATCCCTTTGCGTAAAACATCTATTGTTTACCGACTCCATTGCGAACAACTGAAACATCCGAAAACAACAATTTTTCTGGATTTATAAATAGAAATATATTATCTAAAATGTAGCGCAAGGATTTCTTGAAATTTTAATTACTATGGAAATGACAAGTATTTTAAGTGCGAAAACCTGTTTTCACCTCAAGAAATTAGCTTCAAATGTTTATGAAAAGCAAAATAATATATTTTAAATAATATATTTTTGTTTATAAATCTACAAAAATTTTTATCCTCGAATGTTTCCGTTGTTCATAATTCAACAATGGATGTTTCACGAAAAGGGTTTCCGAAGCTAGCGAATAACCGCGCCATTTTGTAACATTTCGGTTTAGAAAAAATACAAATATAAAGCGGAAGGTTACAGTTATACACCCAGAGAAAGTCAGAAGTTTTCACTTAATAGTTATTAACAAAAGAATTCCTAAAGGTTTGCCTATATTTAAAACGTTTCTAGCCTGTAACACTAAAACTACCGAGCAGTTAAATTCACTTTTTAAAATTTCTCTGTAGCAACTTCTGGATATACAATTCAGTTTGCATACTGCTAACTCAATTTCTTTAATATTTTCTCAGAGAAACATCTGTTATCTTTCTAATAATTGCAAAATGAAGAAATCGGGAATGGATCATTTCTAACCCGTGTAATAGTTTATGTGTTATAACCGAAACGATTGTGGGAAGGCAATAAAAAATGTAACGAAAATGGTTGATCGAATAACCAGTTCCCGTCGACCGATTTCTTCCTCGTTCGGCGGAACGAAATTTTTTCAGCCGACAGAGGAAGACGCGTCTTGCTTTCACACATTGTCTACGGACCCGATAAACTGGGCGATAAGGACTTTCATTCATGAATAAATCATCAATCTAGGAATATAATGAGGAAGAAGTCGATCCGTGGATTTTCGTTTTTGTTAGGGGACCATTGAGTAATTGATATTGAATATTAATTAATTAATTTATTTATTTATTTATTTTCAATTGAAACTGGAACACCGTGGAATAGAGGTTTATTATTTCTGAGCACAAGAAACGTCAGCGTAAAGAACAGGAAAGAAGAAATTAGATTAAAATGTGATACTTTCGTCCATGAATAAGTCATTTAATTTAATTGTATATAACGCAATGCATTGTTGGAATGCATTGTTCCTTGATGGGAGTAATTTTTTTTAACCTGGCTAATGGTCTCCATTACTTAATTATTTAATTCTCTGGAATTAAGGGTTGAAGGATCAAAGGTTTACTTGAATTGAATGAGATTATTTAATGTTCTTGAACTGAGAATTGAAGAATCAAAAATTTTCTTGAATTTAAAATTGAAGAATTAAGAATTTTCTTGATTTGAAAATTCAAGGATGACAAATTTTCTCGACTCGAGAATTAGAGAATTAAAAATTGTCTTGACTTGAAAATCGAAAAATTAAAAATTTTCTAGAATTGGAAATACAAGGATGAAACATTTTTTTAATTGTAAGTTGAAGAATTAAAAATTTTCTATGATAAAGAATTATAGGAATTCCTATATACGAAAATGAGATATGAGTCAATATCTGTTTCAACTAAATTTCACAGGGATAATGGAACATGAGTAACCCTGAAATTGGAAATTCCATGGGCAAAGAAGCGAGAAAGATTTTCTTCTACCTGACCATCAGGATATGATTGCCCTGATTGTTCTTAGTCAGCCCCTAACGCGGATGAAGGAAGAAGAATCATCATATAAGCACGTGGAAGTAAAGGTAACAGGAATTAACGCGAAATCGTTACGTAGAAAGCAGGGATTGAATAAAAATGTAATTGAAATTAGAAGATTGAGATTAACAATAATTTATGCAGCGTCAGCGAACATACCATTGTTCACCTTTACAGCTAAGAGACACGAGAGTCTTTTTAGGCCACTAATTATGGGAGCTGATTGTCTTGCATGTATTCAAACAGCTACTGGTGTTATTAGATACTAATTGTAAGAGAATTAGCCTAGATACTTTAATTTGTATATGCATATTGTGTAGACTGTCTGGTTTTAAAAGGATCTCAATTATATCTTATTGAAATTATAGATCATGTTATTATAAAAATGTATTTCTATATAGAGAAACTGTTGGAGACCTAGTTTTAGTATAAGAAAGGTCTGTTTTAGAATAATGCATATTTAGGGCAAATTTCTTACTAATAATCTTTAGTAACTATTTCAGGTGAAATAGTTAAGTACAATTATTTGTACATTTATATCAATAAAGGTAAGAGTTCTAAAAACCAATATGGCGGTAATAATGAAGCTTCTACTGTGCAGGACTTGAATATTTATATGTACAAAAGTTACTCGTTCAAGTAGTAATTATAGTAAGATATTAATTGTATCGTCTTGTTAAGTCATAGTTTACGTTATTATAAAGAAGAAACAATTATTTTTACGCAGAGAAACTGTTCACGACCCAGTTTTAGTGTAAGAAAGATCTGTTCTCAGGTCATTAATATTTAGAACAAGTTTCTTATTAATAATCTTCAGTAACTATTTGAGGTCAAACATAACAATTCAACTATATAAACTCATTTATTTAATTGAAGATAAGAATTCTAGAAACCAATATGGCGGTAATAATACAATTTTTACTATGCAGGATTTGAATGTTTATCAATATAAAAGTAACATATATAATAATGTAAACTTACACACAAATAATATAAAAGTTCAATTAATAATAAAATTTCGTTTCAGGTAAACAACACTCCCGGTGAATAATTTAAACAATCCCCATCGGACTCTCGAGACCCAGTGTCAATATTTGAAAACTGAAGGAGTAAACAACCGAGTCAACATGGAGGAGCGGCTCGAAGATATTCTCACAGCAACGGCGCGGACTCGTTCGAATACGCTGCAATTTTCGTAACACGTGAATACCGACGCGTGCATTATGTCATTTAACGCGAGGATGTTAGAATAGTTGCACGTTGCCGGGACTTGCGAAATGCTTATGTTGTTATTTATATTCCCGTGTAAACCGCTCGTCCCTTGTACCGCATTAACGGAGATGATTACACGGGACCAAGTGCACTTACATAATGAAATGCAACAGCTTACTGTGCGCTGTGCACCGACAAATGAACCGTGCATCATCAAATGTGCACCTGGAAACACGGTGGAACACACATATACATAAGTTGTATCACAAGTCCATAGTGTTCTCTTTTTTAAAAACAATTTTTTGGATTATTGCTATGGACACAATCTAAAAATTTAATTTTGTTTTCCAATGATTTAAAGAATACCAAACAAAATATAATTAATTTCAAACAATTATAATCAATCTGTATCAGTTTTAAGCAATTATAATTAATTATAATCAATTTTAAGCAATTTTAAGCAATTTTAAGCAATTTCAATCAATTTCAATCAACTGCAATCAAGTTTAATCAATTTTAATCAGTTTCAATCAATTGTGATCAATTTATATATACTGTAATCAATTCTAAACAATATTTTATCACTTTTTAATTAATTTTTTATTCAATTTCCGAAATAACCATCTATAAATTGATTAAAATAATAAAAAAAACATAATCATTTATAAGAAATATCATTTAATCCACAGATGATTCATAATGTCCGTCATAAGGATGAAAGAATTAGGAACTCATGATGCGACCCAATGCCTGTGCAATATTGACTCACCAGGTGCAAGAGAATTTTCTTTTGTACCATTTCTAGGGCGATACCAACGCTAAACGGAATTCACAACGTCTGCGGTTAAGCAGATGATGGAAGGGACCTTAGAGAACGGTCCTGAGACATTGCAGCTTGCACTTCCACCTAAGATTGCGCGCAAAGCGGCTGCACAGCACAATGGCACCATTTAGGTAATGAAACGCAGATAATTCTAATTATACGTTTCCGGGTGCCGTAAAGAAAATTGTGCAGGTTTGTTAACAAAGGCCACGATGGAGCAGATATTTAAAATTCTAAACCACAACAAATTCACTATTTCAGAGATGACTTCGTCTGAGATTCAAAGTCATCCTCAATTAACTGTGAGTAATTTTTCGACGACCCTCGAGTGGCTTATCGCGTGTTAGAATCTTTTTTGTTAAAAGGGGATCAACGGATGACTGGTTACATTGCTAAAAAGGTACTTAACCGTTTCGTGCCTTGAAGAGTTAATTTCCTTTAATCATCTATTACGAGTGTGCATTGGCTGGTCCGCGAGTTCCTCGTTCAGGTTAATTACAGAAACATGGAAAATTCAGATTTCACAGCCTGACCTTTGCCATTTTTCAGGGGGAACCGCGTGAAAGTCAGGCCTCGATTGATAATAAGTGTAGACCAGGGAAGATCATAATGGACTTTACCCTGAAGGGGATCATTAGTGGCTAGGAGGATGTTTCATCCTAGGAATGTGCTTTGAGCACTAACAACAAATCGTTTGGATTGCAGTCAACAAAAGGAATACCTGAGTAATAGTACAGATATTCCGAGATGATAGAGGTCCTTCGACAGTCTGTGTTCGTTTGTATCGAGCAGTGATAATTTTATATCTGGCTATATAATCCTCCAGGAAGTGAGTGTAATTAATGCCCTCGTTAATTCTTTATCGAGCACGCTTAGAATTGTTCCATTGCATGAACGTATAATTCGGTATGAATTTATTGCGTCTGGTATTGCGAGTTTAATGGTTTAATTAATTTGGTCGTAATGCTTTAGATGGGTACGAATATTATGGTAATGATTGGATATATGTATTGTTGTTATTTTTCATTGATTTTAGTGGCGGAAATTGGTTCTAAGTATTTGGTAAAATGAAGAACAGTTGCAGACGAAATTAGCTTGGTGACTATTTGATTTTTTGGCATAGCTAAGTTCTAATTCCTTTTAATATTACATTACAATTAACACTGTGTCTTCCGAAAATCTATTATTAAATTTCTCAATGACTATGATTAATAATTTGATTTTAAATAATAACCCGAAAACACATTATTACATTATACTACGACAACTTGTTCCCAACTATAATCCAAAATAATATTGCAAAACTTCTTAAAAAATTCCTATCTCTCAATCATTGGTTTCCATCGAATAATTTCCAGTAGCCAAAATATTAAAAAGCACAGATAACAAAACTAAACATTTCTTCCAGTGTCTGCACAAACAAAAATACTCGAAAAAATCCGAAATGACTTCTATAATCTCAATGCAATTACAAACAAACAGTACCCATTGCAAGGTACCAATCACCGCCAGCCAATACCATTTCCAAAATACAACCATCAATCCCAACCCAATCCCCAGTCCCCATGGTACCCGAGATACCATTAAAAACTCCCCCCTGCGTCAGCTCAAACCTTGAAAGGCTCTCCACCCAAACACCTCAAACCTCAAAAGCTCTTGGAACTTCCTCGCCAGCAGGTGAACTGAATACAAATCACTGGCTCACAAACCGGGGAATCACCATGAACCAAGAAGCAGGAAGCAACCCCGGGATCACCGGAAGAGAATTGAAGTAGCACGCGTAGAACCGAGTGCACTGCCGCCAGACCGGATTACCTGTCGCACTATCCTGTCCATAATCGAGAGAACCGTGAAAACTCGGAGCGCACCGTAGCCACGAATTGCTTGGAATTATGGTGACGTTACACCCGGCATGCCTGGCTTATATAGAGGGCCGGGGTCTCTCTGACGCCCGCTAGAATTCATTTCCTGTCGAGCTACGGATTCGCGGAGGACCGTAGGCTTAGGAGAGGAGAAGGAATCCCCGTGGATCCTCCGCCGGATGAGACAGGCCCTCTCTTTCTCCCGCGCTCCACGGTTTACTCCAGTTCACATAGGAACACGAACGCCGTGTGGAAAGCCCGCGCTTTATTTCCCATTGTTCTCCCCAGGCGTGGAGAGGCACCAGCGAGCCGATTTCGGGGACTGCCGCGCACACGAGAGGGACGCGTCGGCGCACCGTCTTTCCAGAACGGAGAAAGCTTGATTACTTCACCGCGTGGGACAACGACGGCCACCTCTGACAGCCGCTCGCTCCGGCAGGCTAATTAGACGATTCGCGGGCTTAATTAAAGCCAGGACCATTGTCCAGTTTAACCGGTGACGGTGCAACCTAACTTTGCCAACGCCTCCCGTGCGAGAATGGGCGTGTGGCAATGGGCTTGACGGTGCTAGGGACGTTTAGGATTGTAGCTGGTTGATCGTTGAGGGGAGGCCAAGTGTTTTGACGACTGCCTTAGCCGAGTTGGACGTGTTGTGCCATTCGCGGCGCGGTTCTGTAATAGACTCCTTGTACGGATGGAGTTGGGTCTAGGTTGAGCTGGCTTGATTTAGATTAGACTTGTTGGAGATGTAGGAAGAGATCTTGAGTATAGAGTTAGATGTCATGGTGTACGTTACTAAGGATCATTGAAATGCAATAGTTTGTTTGATTGTAAATTATATTTTGTATAGTAGCAATAATTAATGGAATGAAACAGATATGATAGAAATGATTTTAGGTATTTGAGTTGTGAAGGTTTAGGAAGAGATCTTGAGTCTAGATTTAGGGGTAATATGATTGTATATTACTAAGAATGATTGAAATGCAATAGTTTGTTTGATTGTAAATTATGTTTTGTCATTTGTTGCTAGCAATCAGTAATTTAAATTCAGGTAGTTATTCTAATCTACAATTATTGGAATAAAGAAAATATAAAAATGTTTATGTCACGAGTTGTAAAGATGTAGAATGAAACCTTGAGCCTAGAGTCAGGTGTGATGTGATTGTACATTCTTAATAGAGTGACTGAAATGTAATACTTTACTTGATCGTAAAATGATATTCTATATTCATTTGTTATTAGTAATCTAATTGAAATTGAGTTACGCTAATTAACAATTACTAGCCTGAAGAAGTTATTGTAACATAAATGTTTATATTATGAGTTGTAAAGATAGAAATCTAGTTTCTTTTAATAGCCAGTATATTATCGGGAAAGAAATCTGTAATTTATTTTGATGATCTAGAGGCACGAGGATGAAACCTCTGAGTCTCCTAAGCGGCAGCGAGTAATGACACGAGCCGAGCACAATGTGTAACGCGAATGAGCAGCGAATCCGACGAGATTGGCACGCGGGTCTGATTTAGAAAGCGACGTGTATTTGAATAGCGCTAAAACTGCGTTTTAGCTTTGTCATCACGCTCAAACGGCATAACGCTGTTACGCTACCATAATCGCGTTTCGCAACGCGGCCGCTTCTGCTCCTCGCCGCGATTAACCGCTGACACATTTTTATATCTGCCCGTGCATCTCTCCGTTCACCCGAGGAACAGTGTTTAAGATTCGAATTCATCGATCCGTTAACCGCAAGCGTGTAATCTGGACATGTTCCAGAGCAAAAACCTCGACCATTTCGAAATCCGGCTGACGTTACTGAAACTACCTTGATTCTTGATTTCTTCCTTTATAATTACCAAAAAAGTATAGATCCTTCTTTGAGAAATTATTGAGGAAGTCGATTTAATGGAGTTTCTACGAAATGAAAGTTAATTATAGTTTCTACAAATGAAGGTTAATCAATGATGGTCTCTACAAAGAAAAATTCAAAAGTTATTTTGTCTGCTTGGTAGTCCTAGTGTTATCTCGTTCGATATTTTTCAGGAATCACTGGTAAACCTGGAGAATGTTGTTCACAATTTAAATCCATCGATCTCTTACAAAATGACGTCACAGTGATTGAATCGTCCATTTCGATAAAACATTTTTTAATGAATTTAGAGTAAAAATAAGCCAACTATATTGAGCCATTTTTTTCAACGCTCGATGTTTATACAAATATTTAACATTTAATTTTTTAACATTTTCTGACGTTTAATTTATTAGTGTCAATAATAAAAGCTTATCAAATGTACAAAGTAAGAATTCGATTTCATATGTTCCATAATCTGGATAACAGTAACTGAATTTAGATTCCTCAGAAGCCACTGGCGAACGTGGAGAACACTTTTCATAATTTACTTTTCATGATCCATCAATCTATCACCCATGGATATGAAATCTTAAATCTTATTAGACACCAGAGTATATTCAAAGTAAGAATTTGATTTATAAATCTTTTGGAATTTCATTAACAACAATTGAATTTTCTCAAGGACCATTGATGAACCTGGAGAACTCTGTCCACGATTTAAATCCAGAAATCCATCAACTACAAGAATGAGATTTAATCAAGATTCAGCTTGAAGTATACAAAAATCTAATTAAACATTAATTTTTTATTTTACAGAAAATCACTGGTGAACCTGGAGAACACTAGGAATCCTCCAAATAAAGTCCTGAATAGAAGTATATTCTACTATCGCCCAGACAAAGAAACAGTAAATCTAAAGACGTTAAGTATATAATTGTTCAACTAATTTACTTCATCTAATTAACTTGCAGGTTCGTTCCAGGAGTAGAGTATTCCCTAGGACTTGTCCTAGGACTTGTCTCCAGGCACGACAAGATTACTAATCGTTGATCTCGTTTACAACAATGGGCCTAATCACAGGCGTAGATCTAATCTCCAGATCAATGAGCCAAACGGAACCTAATCAAGACAGGTTTATTGTTTATTTACTGTGCGAATTCTCACTTTCGATTCCTTTCGTAACCTTTCCCCTGCGTGCGTTCCCCTGTTGCTCGCCGTTACGTGAACCGAACGGAAGCCATTGCGTCGCGATAAACACATGCTCCCTGTAGGACGGTTTACTTAATTAACTATGGCTACACTGTTGCCCCGGATTTTTGGTAACTGAGCCATTGTTCGCTCGAAAATTCGGGGAGCCTCGCTAAAAAGAAAACGCCGGTGTCTCAACCCCCGTTACTCAACACCAGACCACCATAGGCGTCAAAATGACCCATTTCAGGTTTTTTATTTTGCAGTTGCTGAAAACGTATACTGATACTTTTCTGAGAGATTATTTAGTACTTGAACCGATTTCTAAAAATCTCTTTGTAAAAGCTATAACCCTGCATTTGTTAACAGATTGCGTACTGGGAACGAGAAATCTTGTTTCTACCTTATATAACTTTTGCTAATTACCAAAGTGTTTAAAAAATATTGAATTTTATCGGAACTGATTGTTTAAAATACATTGAATAGAAAGATATTTGAGCTTTTTCGAGTATAGTGATCTAAGTTAATCTTACTAAAAATCGACGGTTACATTACCTAGTTTTTTAATATTAGCCAGTAATGTGTTAACATTTCAATTGGCTTATATTTCAATTTGAACATTGCCGAATCAGCATTTCTAATCATTTCTCGGAGTATCTATACCTTTTCACCGTTTGTAAAAGAAGAATTCAGGAATAGGCATTTTAACCCTAGTACAATTAGGGGATGACTTGATGTCTAATGGAACAGTATAGAGGCAAGGGGTGTTTTCTATTTCACAGTTTTATAGTTTTGACTGGTTACGTGTAACCCCATTGAGAAATAGTAAATTAGGAATGGAAAATATCAAAAATTATAGAATTCCTCAGCCTATCCATCAAGTGATCTAGCAGTAGTTCTAGTTCTTGCTCCTGTATGCATTATGTTCATCAAATGTTTCCATTTCTGGTATTGATCTACCAAATGTATGGCTGATATAACTCAATTTAAGCGACAGCAAATGCACCGTTGTAGCTTGTGCAAGAACGTAAAAACTGACTGTCAGGCAATTGTAAGTGGTGGAGTGGTTGCGAAATATTTGTATAATTTTTTCTCGCGACGATTTTACGATTGGAACGAAAGGGAAGAGGGTGATGATGAGCGGAACGGGAGATTGTTTCGCGGAACGAATTGATAGCAGAAGGTGTTGCGTAATGAATCTTACTCTACTTTCCTGATGGCCGAGCGGATCTCACTCGGTGATCTCCCCTCGAGTGAGCATGATAGACAAGGTCGTTATGGTCTCAAAGGATGATGCTCTAAATTCATTTCAGTGTTGCGCAATCATCCTTCGGACAATTTCAGTGATCTTTCTTCGGTGCGTACGCGTCGCGTCGGTTCGTTATGAAACAACACGCCGGTGAATAATGAATTAAGAAAGGCAGGCAGTCAGGCAGGCGCCTAAGCCGATCGCCTAACAAAATGTTCATTATTTCGCCACCTTTGACACGGGAGACGCGTACCCTCGATCATCGTGATCGAAAGTGAATCAAGGATATATTGGGATCGCTTCGATGCAGGATGTTGCGCAACCGCGCGCGAATCCTGCGCGGAAAAAATGATGGGGAGTGGTGGGTGAATAGAGCAATTCATCAAGCCCCAGGCGGATGATGAGATTAATACGCTTGGGATGAATTAAACGGCCGCTTTTAAGTAGGAAAAAGAATATCTATTCGAACCTGATGATTAAAATTCGATTATTAATTGCACTTTTAATTTTTCATACTTCTTTTCATTTTGTATAGTTCTTTTAATTTTGTATACTTCCTTTAATTTTATAGACGTTAATCTTGTAATGATCTTGTCACAGAATATCGGAGTTATTTCAGTTTTTCTTCTCATCAATGGATATTTTAAATTACAGGAATATATTGTTTAATCTAGTGAAATATATTTTGGCTTCTAACATCGATTTCTTAATTTTTTTATAGGGATAAAGTATGTGGGAAGCACATACGTTGAGAGTTATATAAACATTAGACAATCAATAACATAGCAGCAATTGGAATAGAATACATTAACATCCTATTGACCGTTTATGTAAAGAAACAATTGTTTTGTCCATAGCCTATCATTACAGCAATGTTTCATTCCTGCACATGTAAATCACTCCCCCTTAGACATATTCATACAAACAGATAGTTTCTCCTCATAAATTACTCATATACCGTACCAAAAACAGGAATGAAATAAAAAGTCGAGTCTTATGATAAAGAATTCTTTATCTAACGGATTGAGTTCGAAATACAATTTGTTACTTTTTTAATTGACGTTCCCGTTTAAACTTACTGACTGGCCGAGTTTCTTTCTCTGGCTTCGAAACATTCTCTATTACCGCTGGTGTGTGTCTTTCCTTGATATCTTTTACTACCTAAAAAATACGAAAGTAGTTTTATTGAAAAAATCTAATTAAATATAATTAAATTGTAAATGCAATGAAGAAGTAACAAGCAATAACTTACTGTTTCATATGTAGAAGCCTTAACAATATGTTCATTTTCTTCATCTTCTTCTTCCTCTTCTGTACTATAATCAGGAATAGTAGCCAAAACAGGTGGAATATCATGAGGAGATCTCTTTAAGATTGATTTGGGCTTAGAGAATATCCTATAAATATCTCCTGGTGTTTCTATTGTATCTCCTTCTGACTTTGCAATTGGAGTGTATTCAGAATGACTAAATTCTATCCGAAGAATATCTTCCTCAGTTTCTACAGTTTCACTTGTCCCTTCCTCTTCTGTTGATTTCTTAACTTTTTGTTTGTTTTCATCGTCTATGTTAACAAATGAAACAACCTTTTTGATTTTATAAGTTTTAACTTCTACCTCGGACTGTTTCTCCTTTTCTTCTTTCTTGTACTGCCTCCCTTCTTCTTTGTCCTTGTGCTGATTCTCTTCTTCTTTGTCCTTATGCTGATTCTCTTTTTCTTTCTCCTTGTGCTGCATACCTTTTTCGTCTTTGTTGTGTTGGTCCTCATGTTCTTCTTCTTTGCATTGTTTTTGCTTTTCTTCCTCTTCCTGTTCTTCCTTTTCTAATTGTTCCTCCTTCTCTTCTTCAGGATTTTCTTTCTCATTATCTGATGAAGAGTATTCTTCTAATTCTTCTCCGAAGAGTTCATAATGTTCATCTTCTAGCCTATTAAATTCATCTGCTAACTCTTCCTCCAATTCGAGCTGGTCAAGTCTGTGAAACAGATCTTCTTCTGTTTCAATTTTTGTTTTCTCTTCTTGCCTCAATTTTGCTAATTTTTGATGGTATTCTTTCTCTCTTTCCCTGTGTTTTACTATAAAGAAGAATCGAGAACAATTTTTAACAATTTACACAAAATTTGAGTAACGTGCAGGAAATAATTACTTTTCCAGTCGTAAATTTTCTCTTCATTCCAATGTTCCACAATTTCTGTACCAGCACAGTCTTCGAACACATCATTGTCTATTACCATCATCTTAGTCTCATATAAATCCCTTTCAGTGCTTAGTTTTTTTAACATATCTTCTGAACCTAATATAAAAAATATCAATTAACATTTGTAATTACATTTTTATTTAGTTTATGTGTGGTTCAGAATACATACGTTTTATTCTTCTTTCGCAAAGTGCTGCTGCACCTTCAGCAGTGTATTTGGCAAAATATCCATCACCCAAAGAAGCAAGTACTTCATTGGTATGAATTAATTTTCCCTTCATCAGTGCTCTTTTTCCTATTGGTATCATACAGTTTACGTGTACATCCTTTCGAAATTCATATAATGCTTCTGCAACTTTTTGGTGACCTTTCTTGTAGTCTGCCCATATTTTACGTTGCTCTTCATTTTGTTGTATTCCCTTAAAGTAATTAATTTAGGCTATATATTAAAAATTGTTTTAAATATTTAAAAGCTTAATGAAATTTTTAAATCTTAATAACAAAAATTATGGAAAATAATTGTCACATTACTACTATGTATAACAACAAATCTTTTATTTCATTTCTATCTACCTTTAAAATAGCCTCATCAAAAAGCATGCGTTGAAAATTTTGTGTTTTATCTTCGGAGATCATTGTTAAAATAATATTTCTGAACAAAATCTCTTAAAAATATAAAAGTGTGATCAAAGAAATTTATTGACGGGTTTATTTAAAGATAACATCTATTTCTTTATTATACATCAGTACATGTATTATAATGAAGATTTCTTAATCTTTCATTTACAAAGTTAACATTTAATTACATATTGTCAAAATGCATTAATATTCTTGTTCAATTACACATAATTAAATGTTTCATTTCCTTATGACTGAAACTTTGATTTACAAATATAATTATGTTTAACGTATATTTTTTTAAATTATAACCTCAAAATTAATGTTTGAAATTAAACTTTATTCGTAGGATTACATGAAAATAGACCTAAAAGCAAGGAACACAAAATCTCTAGACTAATAATTACAATACAATATTGTCAACCATTTTAACAGTCTTCTTTTTATTAAATAAAGTAAAATTACAAATAAAGTATATTATAATTATTTCATTTTTAAACAAAATAATGTAAAAATTATGCATGCGTCTGTAATTGAATGATATTTATATAGTCTAATGAAGTTTTTCATTTCACCGCTAGATGGACAACTGTGGACATTCATTACATTACGAAGATGTTCATCTATTTCGTCCTTTAACTCGTGAATTTCTTTCTTGTTTTTCCATCGAAGAAGAAATACACGAAAATGGTTAGTGAATCAGTGAAAATCCATTTATATTTAAAGCATCCTTATCGATTGCTTTTCATCAGTTCTATTATAATTTTTCTAAACGCAATATAAACCAGAATATATATAAATTTTTTCCCATGAATGGCGTTCAACAAGTTACCCCTACACATAACCCTTACTTTTATGTTGCTCAAAAATTTGAAAATATTCTATTCTTATTGTTACATCTCCTTTTGCGATTAAATTTTAAGAACATTAATCGCACTTTAATGGCAGTGCAGAAAGCTTAAATTATTCTCTTTTATTTAATACGTAACGTTACAAAGATGTTTAAATATTGTTTTCATTGACAGTTACACAGAAGGAAACATGTGTTACTGGTTGTTGCAATTTTTAGCGTTTAAAAGTGGTATCCACGGAGTAGTGATGTGATTGTTAATTTTAGGGGAAGGTTAAGTGCACTGAAATGAGAATGAAGGATAAGAAGGAGCTCCTCAAGAAGCTTGAGGAACTCAAAACAGAACTGACAAATCTCCGTGTTGCTAAAGTCACTGGAGGTGCTGCTTCTAAACTTTCAAAGATGTATGTATAAATTTTAAATATAATGTAATTAGTTTATACTTATATGAGATTGTTTCATGAGTTAGTGTTACGGCGTGTTAATACTTTTTGTGTTATGTTTTGTAGTCACAGAGCGATACAAGTTTGAACTGCTCAGTTTAGTCAGTAGAAGGTATTCGAGAGAGATGGGTCGTGAAATTACTAAAATTTTATATTTAATAAAATATTACTTTATATGATAGAAAAAGAAATACTACACATTTACAGGACAACCTAATACATTCTTAAAATAAGCAAAATGTGAACATAGAATATATTTAACATTCAAACATTCACTCATGTATAAGAAAGAATTGATTCAAGTTTTACATCTTCTATAACTTTTTTATAGTATCATGAAACTAACAGTTTTCTTTATATGTCTATATAAAAACTTTAACCAAGTTGATATTAAAAACTATAAGTCTTCTTTAAAAAGTTATCTTCAATATTGTATAAAATTGAATATTGTTTTCTTAATTTAAACGCATAGTTCATCTTTGTGAAATTTAACTTTTTCTATGAATTTCTAATTTTTTATTCCTCTTCTCTTTTTGTATTTCAGCCGTGTTATGAGGAAGGAAATAGCTAGAGTATACATTATTATGCACCAAAAGCAAAAGGAGAACTTGCGCAAACTGTATGAAAACAAAAAGTACAAACCCCTGGACCTGAGGCCAAAGAAAACTAGGGCACTCAGAAGGGCACTGACACCTTATCAAGCCAACAGAAAGACTCTGAAAGAGATACGCAAGCGATCTGCCTTCCCTCCGAGAAAGTATGCCGTACAAATGTAAGCTGAGAGGTATCGATAAGGGATAAAATAAAAGTTTTTTTTTAAACACACAACTTTGTATTACTCTGCGAGAAAGAATGTGCGAACTACAAGATCTATCGACAAATGCTTTTTATTTTCTATAGAAAAGGGTACAAAAGTTAGAGTTAGACAAACAGCTTCTACCAGCTAAAAAATCTAACATAGTCCTTGATTGTTCAACATCTGCTGTGATATTAAAGTTTCTCAAACGAACATTCGAATTAAGCTCAAGATAATGAGCAATGTAGAATAGAAAATAATTTAAAACATGAAGTTACAATGATGCTATAATACAGAAGCCTTTGTCCGAAATAAATGTTTCAATTCCAAGTACTTTCAGAAGTTGAACGTTCAAGAATTACTAGAAGCTGCTGTGTGAATTTTAAAGGCGTATTCCAGGATTTCTGGAAACCACGAAGTTGAGAAGCTCGTCGCTGTCCTCGCAAACGAACGGTTTTCGATGGTGGCAAGCCACATCGTGCCATTTAACTCCGTCGTTGTAGAAGTTGTTCAACATCGACAAGCATGACTCGTCGTTGCCCTGTAACAGAAACATTTTATCATGTACATGTCGTCTTCTCCAAAACAGTTTAACATTTTCAAATAATTCAAATCAAATACCTGTGCAGCCTCACGGTTGTCTGGTTGCGGCTGTCCGTATCCACCAGTGTGACTCCAGTCACCCGAGTTACGTTGCGTGGTGGGACCAATTTTAGCCCCTGAACCAGACCAGAACCACCCGTTGACGTTCTGCGGTAGAAGATCTTGTCTATCGCAGCCATTGAAGTTACATTTGCGTCCGGATGTCCAAATGTATCTCACGTTTCCTGTTGATAATTGAATATTTAGTCAAGAAAAGAAGTAAAACTGAATCTGTTCACCGAGTGATTTGATTCCGCGTGTTACAACTCACCTCGGACAACTCTCTGTTTAATGAACTCATTCTCCTGCGGTGTTTCAAGAGAAACTGCGTCCATGCAATGTCTTCTGCAGATGTTACGAGCGTCGAGCCAGTCTACTTCTAAGCTTCTAGTCGGTTGGTGTTCCCAACTGAAGAAGTACGAATGTGCAACACCTCTGGCATCTCTGTAAGTGGCGTGTCGTACCCCTGTAACAGAAGATCATTTCTATTCACCTTGATCCTATGAACAAAAATCAAAAGAACACATTCGAAGAACTATAAAAATAACTAATAACCGAGTACTGCTTACGATTGGCACAACTGCGTGGATCGGGGAGCGCGAGTCGACGTTGAGCATCCACTGCAACC